TTCTATGCAGAAGGGAGTCTGATTTTGGACTCTCCAGCTTTAGTAAATAAACCCCCATGAGTCTACAATATTGACCTTTTTCACAATATTCTAATTTTCTGAGATACTGAATTTTGGATTTTCACTAGCTGTAAGCCACGATCATCAAAATTAAAGGAAAGAAATGCTTGAAATATATCAATCTGTGTGTAATGAATCTATATAATATGAATTTCACCTTTGGAATTGAATTACTGAAATAAATTAAAGTGTTACTAATCCAGAACCCTAAGTTCACTATATCTGGTCTCCCACAGTACACAGAACATGGAAATGCAATTATTTTAGTAAATATAAACCGCTAAATACCTTTTCTTATCAGCAGATAGAGCAGTCTTGTGACTTCTATCAGTGTCCAGCAGAGCACATGTTAAAACTTGTAGGAGGAGTTTACTTTGTGCTCTAGGAGAATGCAGAACCCCTGACCTCTGTCTGGACAGTGCTGATTGGCCCTGTGCTGATCACATGCACTCTCCCAACAAAAGAAAAAAAACCCTCTTTAGCAATACACACTAAACTGAGCATGTGCATAGTGTCTCCACATGATATGTCTTATCAGGAGATAAAAGGGGGACGCTGGAAGAAGGGGAGGATCAGAGAAGTCAGGATCAAACAGCGTTTTTAAACAATGCAGAGGATTAACCCCTTAGCTTCCACAGTGAGTATAACCAGCATGCTTTACTGCATATACAGACTAAGTTTACTGTTGTGAGTTTAGTAACACTTTAATGTTTTGATGATATTCTAATTTATCAAGATGCACCTGTATAGTAATGCTCATAAAGAACCATTTTTTTCATGGTCACACAACAATACTATTTTTCACAAATAGGTGGCTCTCCAGGCTAATTGCCATTTAAAATTATTACCAAAACAGGAGCTGGTATACTCCCAGTGCAGTGAAGCAAACCTACATGTTTAAAGACATTCCTTTTCACCGCTTTCCGACCCCCCTATAGCAGAAATACTTCTACAGGGCGGCACGGGTGCAGAAAATCATGTATACATACATGATTTTCCATTTCCAGGTAGGGGGGGCGCGCACGAGCTGCGCGCGTGCCCTACCCACGCCGCCATTTGCGGCCACAGCTGTCAATCACCGGATCCCGCCTGGTGATTACCAAAGATCTCGACGAGGAGGAGAACTGTTTTCTTTACTAACAGTTCTCCCTGTCAGCTTGGGCACACTGCTTTGGATGGCTGTGCACAGCCATCCAAAGCAGTGTGCTTACAGTGAAGCACACAGACACCGCTCCATAGTAAAATACACACAGTTCACCATTTTGATCACCCCTCATGTTAACCCCTTCCTGCCCAGTGCCATTAGTACAGTGTCAGTGCTTTTTTTTTTTTTTTTAGCACTGATCACTGTATTGGTGTCAATGGGGATGTCAGTGACACCAAGTCGCTGATCGCCACCATCATCCACAGATACCGCCCAAATCGCCCACTCCGCTCCTCCCATGATATCCTCCTCTCTAGCTCCCTCATCACCTCCTCCCACGCTCGCCTCCAGAACTTCTCCAGAGCCTCTCCCATCCTCTGGAACTCCCTACCACAGCATGTCCGTTCAGCCCCCACCCTGTCTGCCTTTAGGCGATCTTTGAAAACTCACTTCTTCAGGGAAGCCTACCCCACCTCAACCTAAGAACTGTACTTGAATCACCTCCGCCAGATCATCCCCTGCAGCTATCACCTTTTGTATCACCTCCCCCTTCCTTTAGATTGTAAGCTCCATGAGCAGGGCCCTCCTATTCCTTCTGTACTAAAATGTATTGTAAGTGTACTGTCTCCCTTTATATTGTAAAGCGCTGCGCAAACTGTTGGCGCTATATAAATCCTGTATAATAATATTAATTACTAGTAAAAAAAATAAAAAAAATCCCAGTATATATACCGCCATTTGTAAACGCTATAACTTTCACGTAAACCAAATAATTTACATGTAAAGGGATTTTTTTTATACCAAAGACATATATCAGAATACATTTTGACCTAAATATATGACAAAATTTGATTTTTTTAAAATTTTTTTACTGGACATGTTCAATAGCAAAAAATGAAAAATACTGTTTTTTTTCTCAAAATTGTGGTCTTTCGGGTTTTTTTAGCGCAAAAAATAAAAAACGCACACACGATCAAATACCACGGAAAGAAAGCTCAATTCGTGGGAAAGAAAGGACATAAATTTCATTTGGGTGCAGTGTGGCATGACTGTGCAATTTTCAGTCAAAATAACGCAGCGCCGTAACGCAAAAAATGACCTGGTCAGGAAGGTGGGTAAATTCTCAGGAAGTCAAGTGGTTAAACAGTACTTCAAACACGGGAAAGGTCCAAGGTCAGAAAGTTTTGAGTATTTTGTATTATAATAAGAATTTGTTCTTTGATATTTTGCTTACTCCTTCACTAGTGTGATTGCTTTAACTTCAGCAACAAAATAAATGATAATCAGTGTTTGAAGCTGGGCCAAGGAGCACAACAAGAAAAAGGATAATGCACAGTGGCTTATTCAATCAAAAATTGAAAGATGACCTTTCTTTATATTTGTGCTCCTCGGAAAGGAAAGCGCTGAAATGAGCACGCTCTGATGGTATGGAAAACATAATGGCCATGTATTCTTTGGGGAACAAGAGTCTGCAAAAAGGTGACATTCATGTAAAATTGTTATCTGGGATGTCGACAAGCCTCAGGTTCATCCCAAACATGTCACCAAGGAAATCTTACAGAGGAAAGTGAAATAGCTTCTTCCACCTTGAAATGACATTGACTGTTCCAGTGGCTACAGGCTGGATTTTCCAGATGAGTAATTGCTGTGTCTGTACCTGATCTTAACTCTTTAACAGCTTGAGAAGGGAGAAACTGGAGCAGAGCAATGCATTGTGGGCCTCTTGGCAGCCTATGTGTTAACAAGACTACTAATGAACGATCCAAAGTCTGTTACCCTTCGAGCTCAATCTGTTCCCGCAGGGACTTACAGACATTTTGTAGCCATCCACCCAAATCTGTTCGCTTACCAAGTTACTTCCACGCATCACAATACAGATCCACATGGGACCATTCATCAGAATCTCATTGCTCCATGACATGGCCACAGATGACAAAAGATGTATCACTTCACTGCCCGTAGGGCATTGCAGGACGGTGTGGTTAGAGAAGGGTTAACATGAAGTCCATTCCCAATGTGATGGCAGATGGCTTAGAATGATGACCTGCTGATCGCAATATATAACCTGTTGGTGAGAAGTAGCTTGTTGGCAAGAAAATCTATTCATTATGACAAAATGACACCAGTATTTATCAATAGATGAGAACAAGCCCTGCTTGGGCCTGGCATTAAGATTGCATTCTTGGAATGAAAAAGAATGAAGGACTAATGGTTAAAGCTAGGTGTGTTGATAGGTGGGTGTATACAATATGTCTGAAAGTGACTTTATTCTGAATCTCTTCACCTGACCCTATATATTATCTTTAAAACATGGCTAGTTTTAATAGGTTTACGTAAAGGGAAATTGTACTTAAAGAATATAATAGTTGACATTGCTAACCAATATTTCTGAAAATACTAGCTGCCTGGCTGTCAAGTTGATCCATTGGCTTTAATACTTTCTAATTTAGAAAACGTCTGCAGATTTGAAGTTCTGACTTAACTCGGTATGCTTATTTTGAGTTTTTAACTCAGAAGACATTGTGAATCATTTAAACATTGCTGCAGAGAGAGAACAGGGATGACCTTATTAGTGTACAGCTGCTCAGGGGCGGACTGACCATTTGGAAACTCGGGCACTGCCCGAGGGCCCGGGGTCAGTAGGGGGCCCCATGAGATGCCCCTGGTACCTTTTTCATAGGCTTTTTTGAGTTTGGGCAAGGACACAGGGGCCCCATGATTCCCTATTGCCCAGGGGCCCCATGAGTTGTCAGTCCGCCCCTGCGGCTGCTCCATCATTGTAGGTGACCAGGCTGTATTGCTTAACTGCAATAGAGAAAAGCTAGGTCAACAAATTCTTTGGCAAAATATACAGCTCTGGTACGTTTTTCAGCTATATATTTAGCTGTTGCAGTTCAGTTTAAACTAGTATTTGGCCTTTGAATTCATTTTAATAAGGTTATGCATGGTTCAATCACTTTTTTATAGTTGAATATTACATAGCTACTAATCATAACTAAAGTGTTAGTAAAACCACAACAGTAAAATCAGTCTGTATATGCAGTAAAGCATGCTTGGTATACCTACTGTGGACCTAAGGAGTTAATCTTCTGCATTGTGTAAAAAGGTAATTTGATCCTGTTTTCTCTGCCCCTCCTCTTGTTCAAATGTTCATGTCTTATCCCCTGATAAGACAGACTGAACTCGTAGCCACATGCACATGCTCAGTTTGGTGTGTATTGCTAGAGACTTTTTTTGTTTCTTGGGAGAGTGCATGTGATCAGCACAGGGCCAATCACCACTGTTTTAGACAGAAGTCAGGGGTTTTGCATCCTCCTAGAGCAGAAAGAAAACTCCTCCTACAAGCTTTAACAAGTGTTCTGCTGAACACTGATAGAAGTCACAAGACTGCTCTAACTGCTGATGAGAAAAGGTATTTAGCAGTTTATATTTACTAAAATAATTGCACTTCCATGTTCTGTGTACTGTGGGAGACCAGATATAGTGAATGCAGGGTCCTGGGTTTAGTAACACTTTAACCTTTTTTCAGATTAGAGCTGAAAGAACTATAAATTGTGGCTTCTAACTGTTTTCCTTAACTGAACTTCAGCTCATTCATATTCATATACAGTAGCAACAGTTATGATAAAGCAGCCTTGTTCACACCTGTGCATTTACTGTGCGTTTTAAGTATGTTGCATTAAAAAATGCTGCTTGCTACATCTTTGATGCATTTTCATTAAAACGCATGATACATAGTTCAATGGTAATGTACCTAAAACAAATGAAAAATGCACCCAAAGTGCATTGCACTTATTACACACTTAATACCAGGGGCGGACTGACAACTCATGGGGCACCCGGGCATTAGGGGATCATGGGGCCCCTGTGTCCTTGCCCAAACTCAAAAAAGCCTATGAAAAAGGTACCAGGGGCATCTCATGGGGCCCCCTACTGACCACGGGCCCTCGGGCAGTGCCCGAGTTTCCAAATGGTCAGTCCGCCCCTGCTTAATACACACTCAGATGTGAACCAGCCCTGTTTTTATACCTAGGTAAGAACGGGGATAATTAAACAGCAAAAGGAATATTTGGCCACAGGGTAAAAATGCAGGAGTAGGTGAGAATGATGTGGCAGCAAGTGGGGATTGGAGAGATGTGGTTGTAGGGGAAAGATATATCTACAAGTGGGGAAAAGCAGGTGTGGTCGAGTATTATGTAGCAGGGGGAAGGTAAAGGATGATGTGATATCTAGGGGCAGCATGGATTTTGGGGAATATGTGGCCATGGGGGCATGTAGTGGGGTACTGTGATTACAGAAAGAAAATAAGGTGCTAGGGAGAGATGACTATAAATGCAGTAGAAGGGATGGTCAGAATGCATATACATGGGGAGAGGCAGTGGTCATCACTGAAAGGTACAGTATGCATCTGCACATTCTGATCACTCCCATAATGTATTGTCTTTATTCTAAATGCCTTTTCAGTGTGCAGCATGGCTTCTGGAACACAGAAAAAGTATTAAAAACAAATCACAAAAAAAACCCATAGGAAAAAAAAAAAAACAGTATCCCGAGAACAAATGATCAATGGATTCAGAATGCAGAGTGGTCTAAAATGTGTATAAATAGCAGCAGCACTCCATCGTATTCTACAATTTGCATCTCTCCTTAAAATTAGAATTTTCCCTCAACAGGATTCCAACAATGAGATGTCTGCATCTAAGTTCATGTATTTACCATTAGAAGTGGTCAATATGGGGGTGTCTTACTTATTTCATATATTTGTAATAGGGAGAGTGTAAAAGAAGGAAGCTACAATGCCTGTGGGTGTTTCAGCTTCACACTAGAAATCGGAAGGGCCCTCTGCACACTGCAATATACCCTTTCCAGCAGACTTTGCAATAAATATGGATATATAGTTCACACATATTGCAATACATGTTTAAGCTGGCCAACTGTGTCAAAGTAATCCCTCTATGGCCAGTCCTACTCTGCTCTGCCTACGCATATGCTACTGTGGACACAATGCCAATATAGGGGAATAGACAAAGTGGGGGAGAGCTACCAGGTCTAGATCTGGCTACTGACCCAACTTCACAGTCTCTTCCTAAAATATAAATACTAATTTTAAGATGACTAACCCTATATCCTTAAGCTTGTAAAAAAATATATGCAATGAATGCAAATATCTCTCTGATCTACAGTATCTATCCAAATTTATAGATAATATCATGCCCAACTTTATGGGAACCCTTTTGGATCCAAAAAGAACAATTCTTATTAGGATCAGAACAAAATATTATTATAACTTTTATTTTGTATAAAATGTATTACATTTATTGTTTTTAATATTGGGAATAAACATTATTCTTTTGCTGATGGCAAACATTTTGGTGGTGGGTTGAAATACACCTTTCTTTGTTATTTGTCTCAAACACTGCTGTGGTGTGATCTCTGTCTTTGAATTCCCATTACCCTTTACTTGTCCTGGCTATTATTTAAAAAATGCATTAAGAGTTTTGGTTAGACTAAAGGTTCTTTCAAAGGGGCACGCTCCATTCTGTTCAGCAGGGAAACCATGAGCATTTTTTTTTTTGACAGCGCACTGTGGTGAACCTGTGTTGGATCTATGGCCTGCTGAGTGTAAAAAGTAGAATTTCCTGTGTTTTCTCTGAATCAGATTGGGGACTGTAGTAAAAGACCACATAGTGTTAGCTAGTGTTATTCCAGTGTCAGCGACTCTCATACCCATTTCCTATGGACAGCATAAGATAGGTCCAAACAGCTTCAGCAACCACACTACTTAGTGCTACAGGATGACCCCTCAAGACCTGGGTTTACTCCAGGGACTCCAGACCTTCCTAAAATGTGGCAGCAGATATTTAACAGTTTGCCTCTCCCATTCCATTTGGCCTAACTCCTCACTAATTGGAACAAAGTTAAATTTTAAACAAAACCCATGTTTCACTTCTGACGCAGAATGACTCAAAATGAGGGGAAACCCAAAGCGCTGGAAATATGGAAGGAATTTGGCAAAACAGAAAACCAGCACTAGGGAAATAAGTCCCTTGACTTCCTTACAATAAATACCATCTATTGTATGTCAGATGAGATTTCATAGTGGACTAGCAGTGTCAGGGCCTTCTCAGGTGGCCAGAGAAGGGGTGACTGACACAAGATGACATCTGTGATCACATTACAGCTAGTGTTCTGGTTTTGCACAGCTGTTTAGAAAATGCACAAAAGGTCAGGAAGTATTCACGTTAAGGGTGTTTCTCACTGCAAGTTTTAAAGAAGAAAATACCACTTTGTGAATGAAGCCTACTGCTCGGGATGGAACAATGAGGTTCCATACTGAGCAGTAGGCGCCATTCACAAAGTGGTACTTTCTTCTTTAAAATTTGCTGTAAAATACCTCATAGCGTTTTTCAAAATTTTTTTTGCATTCACAAAAAAAGCTACTAAAATACTGCTTGCGGTATTTTTCGGAAATATGCGGTATTTATCTTGTGAAACCATGCAATCTTTTATCTCGTGCGATATGCAGTGGGATGGATACAGTGTAGAAAGGATTAGAACCCCTGTTAGCTTTTATTGCTAATAAAGAGGTAAAATGGTTTAAACTGTAGAAATATGTCAACTCACTAAATCAGTGTGGTCCCTGAAGTGTATGTATTAATACAAAAGAAAAAGGTGAGTAGAATACCAGGCAGGGCAGCTGCTTTCACAGGACACATGTGGTGTATCAAAAACAACTAAGTTAAATTAAGTAAAAACAAAATATCTTCCTAAATGTCAAATATTGAATGAAAATAGTATCAAAAATCTTGCACATATAGAACTACCTTTCTTCTACCAATAAAAAATACAATGTTGTCTTTTTTATTGGTGGGAGAAGGGTATTTATATATGTGTGTTTTTTTAATATTTTAATACGATTTTCATTCAATATCTGACATTTAGAAAGATACGTTTTTCCTTTCATTGTAGTTTAAGCAAATACAAACTATTTTAGTTTTGGATAGTGTGGAGAAGTATTATAACACCTATTAGGTTTTTTACTGCTGTCTGTGTCCTCATTAGGGAGGTTCGCCCTCTCTATTTGTCCTGTTTACCATTATCATTAAAAGTGAAATGAAAAGGAAACCGCTACCTGTTAGTGTAAACGTTGAGTTTAACAAATGCCTCCAATCATCCTAATGTGCATGAAAATATAGGATAACACTGAGCTGCTTCTACAGACACAACACAAAAGTCCTGTAGAAGCACTGTTTTTAAGCCAGTGTGCATGGAACCTTAAAGTAGAACTATAGGAAAAACTTTATTTTTCATTTTGGATAGAGTTATTTATGTATTTATTTATTTATTACAGGTAGCCATATAGCGCCATCAATTTTCACAGCACTTTACATATATATTGTGCATTCACATCAGTCCCTAACCCTCAAGGGGCGTACAATCTAAGGTCCCTAACTCACATACATATACATACACATACTAGGGCCAATTTAGACAGGATCCAATTAACCTACCAGCAGGTCTTTGGAGTGTGGGAGTTAACCAGGGTACCAGGAGGAAACCCACGCAGACACAGGGAGAACATGCAAACTCCAGGCAGGTGGTGCTATGGTTGGGATTTGAACCAGCGACCCTAATACTGCCAGGCGGAAGTGCTAACCATTTAGCCACTGTGCTGCCCATTTCCATGCAAATATTCTCGTCCGAAAATCTACACGTGCATGGCCAGCTTTAGGAACCAGTGACTACAGGATGTTGTCATATACATTGCATTCATAAAGTCTTCAGACCACTTTACACTTTACATATATATATTGTACATTCACATCAGTCCCTAACCCTCAAGGGCGTACTATCTAAGGTCCCTAACTTACATTCATACATACACATACTAGGGTCAATTTAGACAGGGTCTAATTTACCTACCAGCATGTCTTTGGAGTGTGGGAGGAAACCGGAGTACCCGGAGGAAACCCACACAAGTAGAGGGCGAACATGCAAACTCCGGACAGATGGTGCCATGGTTGGGATTCGACTATCCAACAACCCTTGTACTACCAGGCAGGTCATAACCACTGTCTGTTTTTTTTTTTGTTGCAATCTGTGTCCCCATTGGAAGATGTCCTCTCTATTACTTTTCTGGGGGCAATGTAAAATTTTGGATTTTATTTCACTTTCACTTTCAGTGATAATGGTAAACAGGCCAAATAGACAGAGTGAATCTAACTGAGGCACAGACAACAATAAAAGCCTGACAGGTTTTCTAATCCACCTCTACTCTATCCAAAACTAAAAAAAAATTTTCATTTAGTAAATCAACCCCCAAAATTTCCATATTTAGGTTTCTGTGCATTACTGTTGAGAGAACTGATACCAAAAAGGCAGAAACTGCTCAAAATTGCCTATTATATTTTTACATTTCCAAAATACCGTATGCCTGTACCACTACTTAATTACAGCATGGATTTAATTATCTATTTCCTATGAATTGACTTTAACGCCTTTCATGTGGTATTTAACAAGCATTTTGAGCATTTTTGCGGTAAATACTGCAAAACAGTATAGTGAATTGACAGTTTCAGGATCACATGTGATATTTAGGGAAAATGTGTCCGGACACCTAAATACCACAAGCGAGTTTCTTTTTTGAATGGAGCCCAATGTTTCTGTTACTATTCACTGTAAGTGTTGTAGGAGCATTAATGACTGTCATAACTTAGATATACAGTACTTTGCATATTTTGAATGCATGGTGTGACCTTCCCGATATTGACAGCCAAGCTGTCATTGTGAAGTTTTGTTAGTCTGACTTGTAGCCAGTTTTATTTAAAAGGTTGCATGGAACATAAACTAAACAAAATAGAAAATAAATCCTTGCCAAGGCTTCTTCCAGTCACCGCCAAAATAAAATGTTATGTCAGGGGCGGACTGACAACTCATGGGGCCCCTGGGCAATAGGGGATCATGGGGCCCCTGTGTCCTTGCCCAAACTCA